TTCAGTAAATGCAACACGTTTCCATTGAAATACGATTCCAGTTTGTTATAAGTGATATTACCAAACCAGTGTGTGCCAGAAGAACAGTTGGCTGACCATATGGCAAGAATGAGGGGCAGCAGGTAGACAAATCAGAGTATTGAATGGTAACCTCGCAGTGTCAGAAGAATGCAGTGAAGACGTCGGTGGTTAGGAGGATCGGTTCGAACGATTGTATAGAATTTTGTGAATGAGAAAATCCCAAAATGGAGAGGAATGGAGAAGCTGTCAGCTGCGTTAGTGACGATAAACGCAACAATGAAACATCTGATCAGAGCATCAGAGTAAGACTATATGTGATTACCCATTTCCCAGCACTTTCTGTTCTGCTTCCTGCAGAAAGTTAGACTACCTCTGGTTTACTGCTTGAACGATCAGATGTTGTTCAATCAGATGTTCCTTTTGTCACAATTCTCGCATTCCTATGCCCGTTTCATTACTCTTGTGAGTAGTGTATTTGGATATGATGTCAACCGTAAAAGCTACATTTTTCATTTCCTCTGTTTCATCAATTTTGTTACATGGAAGATAAACACTGGATGCCACTTCAGCGAAGGAAGGATGGAGATGACTCAAAGGGCAACACTTTACCAACTATGAAAAGTTTCATCAGGTTGCAGCACACATGTTACGAATTTGTGCGGTTTTGGCCGAATGTAGACGATGCTATCAGAGCAGTGTGCATCAGGGCAAGGAGAAGATTAGGGTTGGCGGCATACCGAAGATTGAATACAGCGGAAGAATAAATCGGTTTATTTGCTGGTTTTCAGACGGGGTTAAAATAACACGGGGGAAGTTGACAGTCCTAAAGAAACTCGCTCATATGGGGACAATTTTGTAGATGAGAGCGGCCTTAAATAGAAACTACGATGTTGCTAGGTACAGCAATGGCGTGAAATAAGACGAAAAAACAATTGAGTAATGTCATAGTAAGACTGGGATAGGATGCCTCTGGACTTTAGAAGACTGCATTTCAGTGGCGTTAGGCAAACTGAGGGCTGCTGCTATGACGAATGTGTGATGTTTTTGCTGTTTCACAAATCCAAGTTACTTTTTGCTTGAAAGGCTTGTTTCCAGCCTGCAAATGTTGGCATTGTTATGGCCAAACGAATCGAAGCAAATAAACGCTTGGCTCAAGATCCGAATGATTGTGAAGCAAGACGTATGTTACAAGAATCTGAAGACCAGGTATCATAATTGTTGGTGCTTCTGAGTGTTGGTAGTATTGGCGTTGTTAGCGATGAGAAACGGGAGACGACAGGGAAGGGACTGGCATGTTGGAAGGCGCGGCAGATGGGAGGGGAGGGGAAAGGGAGAAGAATTGGAGGAGAAACGCTTTTGAAGATTTTTGACCCTATGGGTTTTTATGCGTTTTTTACAGCTGTGCAATGCGGAAACGCATATTGGCGAGAGGTTGTGTGTGCGCAGGGCCTTTGTATCGATTTTTCATCTCGAGACCTACAAAAGCTACAGGGCTGAAACTTTGGGGACTTAATCTACATGCA